CACACCCACACCCACACCCACACCCTTTGGAATTTCCACCTTATATAAATAGAATACAAACAAAATGGTAATTCAAAACGATCTATTTTATTCAAATATGAGGGTGTGGGTGTGGGTGTGGGTGTGGGTGTGGGTGTGGGTGTGGGTGTGGGTGTGGGTAGGTTGTGGGAAGGGGAAACGGCATACTTCTGTACTTCTTGTACTTCTCCGTACTTCTCTGTACTTCTTGTACTTCTTGATACTTCCTGGTACTTCTCGGTACTTCTTGGTGCTTCTCCGTACTTCTTGGTACTTCTTGATACTTCTCCATATTTCTCGGTACTTCTGTCCCCGAAAACAGAACAAAAATGTTCTGTTATTACGAAATGGCAAAAAATTCTGTTCCCAACAACACAATAAAAATGTTCTGTTATTCGGAATTCCCAAAAAAAGAATACTTTTGTTCTGTTTTGGGGTAAAACTCAAAGGGGAAAACGCGTACTTCTTTTGTACTTCTCTGTATTTCTTGGTACTTCTGTATACGTCTTGATACTTCTTGGAACTTCTCGGGACTTCTCGGTACTTCTTGGTACTGCTTGATACTTCTTGGAACTTCTCGGTACTTCACTTCTCGGTACTTCTTGAGACTTCTTGGTACTTCTGTACTTCTGCGTACTTCAAAGGTACAGAAGTATGCCTTTTCCCACTTGGTTGTGGGTGTGGGTGTGGGTATGAGTAAGGTGAACTTCCACACCGACACCTATACTGTACAACCACACCCAATACCGACAACCACAACGACACCAACACCCACACCCACCCACAGCCACACCCACCCATCCACAGCCACATCCACACCCAGACCCACCCACACCCACACCCACATCCACACCCACACACTCACACCCACACCCACCCACACCCACCCACACCCACACCCACATCCACACCCACATCCCACACACCCACACCCACCCACACCCACACCCACATCCCACACACCCACACCCAAACCCACACCCACACCCACCACACCCACACACACACACCCACACCCTCTTTAATGGTTGTGTAGAATTGTTCATATGTGACCATCGGATTATTTGATTTAATGCCATAAACAACTTGTAATTCACCAATAATAACTAATTTTAAGTATTTATGAACCCAGAACTTAAATTGAGCTTTACCACGATCATCTTTTAATACCAACATGGTGCCATTATAAATAGCTTGTGTGATAACAAACTTTGAACGAAGTTTCTCACCTAAGGATAGTATATGTTGATCCAATTTCGAATAAAATAGCTCCATTTTATATAATATTCAAATATTTTTTCTTTTGATACTGTGACGAGAAGTTGAAATTAAATATTCCAAATCTTTTTATTTCTTTTCGTTCTATGTATTGCATCATCCGTATAAGGCTTTATTTTTTATGACAGAAGAAATCACATACTTTTATAGTATAACTTTTTAGTAGAATTTAAAATTCTATTATAGTAGAAATTAAAATTTTAATTTCTGCTAGTATAACGAAAAATCGCCTGTTATTTCAATTTCTCCTAGTAGAAATTGAAATTTTAATTTCTACTCCAACATATACATATAATGCATGACTTTCACCAAGATTTGACACAATTCACCTTTAGAATTTTACATTTATGTTTATTACTATAATAATTAAAAGCTTTGGTTGTTTGTTGTTTTATGATTCGTACAAAACATTCAACAAAAACTGACATCTATGAAGTGCTTCTTTTTGGTTCTATGTTAGAAAATGTCATTATCATTTTTCAAATTATTATATTATACAATTTCTTGTCTTCACGGCTTGACCAAGCGTTATGCAATTTCATTTTTTCACATTATAACACCTATATCTTCTCAGTGACAAATGCAAACTCTATGAAAGTTTTGTCATAGATAGAGACCATTTAGTTGTACTACCAATAAAAATTTCATTGATTTTCCTTTAGCTAGAATGAAGTTATTTAAAAAATACTGATCGTTGCGGAATTTTAAAAAAATGGAATCTTTTTTGAGGGAGCGATGAGACTTTAGCATCTCATTACGAAAAGAAACGACATATAAGTAAACGTTCTTCACACAGGTTGCTCCGTTTCCCACAAGCTTTCAGAATATCAGGTCAAACATGTATGAATGCATCGAATAAAAAACTAAAAGTACTGTCCGTTACAGAATTTCGTCTTTTTTTGAAGTCTTAATGGGGAAGGTTTAATATTTTAGTGAATAGAATTACGTCGATCCGAAATTGGACGTAATCTTAGTTTGAATGCTAATATATATGTATATCAATGTTTTATTTTATTTATTTTTTCAATTGTTGATTCATATGAAGTCATTTAATGAGATTTTTGATGAAAAGAAAGAGTTAATTATAGTTTAATGATTATGAAATAAATCTATTCTATTGCATAAAAAACATGCAACATATTGTATATTTTATTTATAAAGGTAGTTGTTTCTTATAAATATCCATGTCTTTTTTTTTCTAAAATAGTTTGTTAGATAAGTCAAAATTTGTGTTGATTCATGTTGAAAAGATGTACTTTATTTTTAGACAAAAAAAAAATATTTTTAATAAACTTCTAAATCTATGAAAAATAAATGAAGCATATGATGAAGTAGAGTTTTTTAAAATATGATGCGTAAATATAATAAATGATTCTTAAAAGAATTTCTATTAATGGTATTGTGCATATGACATGTAAAGTTCATCTATATCCTCTCATACACGTAGTCATTCATGAAAATAATTAATTGTTTTAATAGATCGTGGAATAATATTCAGTAGTTGTTGTATATCTGAGGATACTAATTTTCAATGAATAGAATTTTTCAATCTTATGTTTAATAGAATTCAATATAATTGAAATCAAGATTAAGACCAATATAAAAAATGTTTTAATGACTTGCTTTTGTATTTTCATAAGAATGAGTCTAGTACTTTATTACAGACAACGCAATGAGCTTGAAGAAAAAAAATCTGTTTTTTCTTGTGTATGAGGTGCTTATAAGAAAATAAATATTCAATAACATTACTTTTCAGTATACTTTTGATAAAAAATTGTTTCCCAAAATAACCTTTTTAATTGACAATGATGTCATCTCTGCAAATTTTTTCCTATAGCGAGTATTTTTCTTCATAAAGGCTGTTTGCTCGTACTCATCTTGTTTAATTAAAGAAATGACATGTTTATTAGTTTTATTAATTATTCTTCTGGCATGTCAAATTCTAACGATGAATTGTCATCCTTTTTTTTGTCTTCAGCGAATTTAAACTTAGATTTCTCAAACAAAAATTATCTATGGATGTTGACAATACAGTTACATTACTAAAAATCTCACAAATATTATATGGGTTGGAGCAGTTTATTCATATTCTTTATTGGTACTTTTGGTAATATACTTGATATAATTTTATTTATTCGTCTTGAAAATCTTAATACATTGGCTAGTTCTTTATTTCTTTTGGCTTCTTTTATTGGTAGTCAATGTGTTATGTTAACAGCAACACTTTTACGAGTTATATTTGGTTTAACAGGATACGATCCATTATTTGCTTCATTATTTCTTTGTAAAGCTCATTGGAAGATTGGTCCGGCAAGTGGTGCTTTTTCACTTACTTGTGTTAGTTTAGCCGGTGTAGATCGATATATTGTAGTGAGATCTCAATATCGTGCCAAGATTACATTCAATTAAGCACGTTTAGCTATTATACTTGCAGCTATTTTTTGATTAGGATTTTTCTCAATCTATGCTGTTTTTTTTTTGTTGCACCAACACCAGATTCTTGTAGATTGGTTAATCCTATTATGGTTCAACTTATGCCTTTTATTAGTTTATTTGTCTATAGTGTTATCCCTATCATAGCACTATCTATTCTTTGTCGTTTAATTTGGCATACTCTTCGACAATTACCTGTAACATATTTACATGGTGGTAATCGTTCACATGATCAAGTAACATGTATGACTATTGCACAAATGATTGTTGTTATTATTACTAGTTTTCCTAGTGCTGTTTATTCTGTTTATACAATATCTACAAGAACAATAATTAAAAGTTTATGGCGTTTGGCTGTAGAAACATTAGCTAATACAGTAGCTGTTTTAATTGATTTTCTAACACATGCAATTATGTTCTATGTTTATTTAATTGCTTCAAAAGGTTTTTATCAAAATGTAAAAACTATGTTTCATGCTGGATTTCAACGTATTGCACGATTATGTCCACAATTATTTGTCAATGCACAAGTTATTATTCCTCTAGTTTGAAAACTAATTATGCGTTTCTTTTTTTCTTTTTCAAATGAATTTTAAGACATCAATAAAATTTTTGCTTATTATCATTTGGGTTAATAAGCGCATTTTTATAATTATCAATATAAGGAAACTTTCATACTGAGATATTGAATCGTGTAACTGTAGACACAAAGTGAGAAACATCATGTCGGTAATGAACAGTAGGATAAATAAATTATAAATAACACATTTTATATTTAGAAACTTTAGATACATTTAACCAAAGAATAATAGACTCATTTATTCTATCATAAATCATTATAATGATTTAAAAATCTATGAAAATCATCAGAAACTATTAAAAAATATCATTAATAGAATTACAAGTGAAGTTAGCCTTTATTTGTTTTTTGATAATTTTCTTCTTATTTGTTCACCCTTTCATAATCAAGAAATTCTGTAACAATCGAACTTTTATAAGTTCAATAGACTGACTAATAGTTTTGAAAGTAGTTCAAGTTTGTAATAGACTTTTTGCAACATCATCGAATACTTCCATAAATGATGTTTTTTTTAGTTATACTTTAATTGTACTATTATGAAATATTCAGGGTTTGGTATGAGAATATGCCTGATACTCATAGAGCTGCACTTTCATACCAACAACCAGTTAACAGTGGAGTTAATTAGTTCATTACGATAACAAAACTGTGGCCTACTTTGAAGTTTTTACCAAAAACAAAAGTGCAAAAATATAGAAGAATAAACACCTTCACTATCCATCATTACCATTATATAAATCCTTTCTGTTCATAGGTCTTGGTAAGGCTTTGTAACCTGTTACAGATTCACTGTTATTTTTATTTTGTTTATAGACCTTTACATGAAGATTGTATGATTGTACGTTTCAAGATATAATCTTAAAATATTAAACCAAAGAAGAATTTATATGATAATAATATATGCGTGGTGACAATTTATTATCCTTCAATTTATATTCTAATATATTCTCTCTTGACATATTACTTTGGTTTAGTTCAAAGAACTTTCAAAATATTAATTACACTTATATTTAGAAAAAGGTTTGATGAAATTGATGTAATACAAATAAAAGTGAACAACAATAATTGTTTTCAAAAGTACATAATAATTAATGTAAGTAAACTTGCGACAAATAAAAGTGCAAAGGATGTGAGTATGGGGTGTGGATCTTCTCCTAGCCCTCACTCACACTCACACCACTACTCCCACAGACCTACACCTCCACCCACAACCTATTTTTGGTTTTTTCATATGACCCTCCCTACAGTCGAGAGAACATTCATTTACTGAAGATATAGACAATTATGCAAGTCAAGGGGGAGAATTTTTAGACTATACAGATTGTGTATAAGAATGGTCAATTGAAACCGAATTGTTTATTTAATCTTAGTCAGCTTTTGGTTGTTTTCTTGAAATAGACTAACATCATAGATCATTCGTTGCATAATGAAAGAATATTAATGATGAAGCCCATCTTAATCATCTACAGTTGTTAGTCATACAGCTGTTAAATAAATATTGTTCACAATTAGTACTATTTGAAAAACATATCCGACCTTTCAATTTCAATTATTCTTCGAGCTGCCCAGGTCAAAGTCGATCTGTCGGATCCTATCAAATCCCAAGAATTCCAACAGGGTACTTGGTATCGGGTTTCGACGATATCTGACGAATTACCATCGGAGCCGGTAAAATCCGATAGTTCTTCCGATAGGATCCGATGGTAGCCGACAGTTGGATCTGTCTTCCTAGGTAGTATAGAAAAATAGAGCTTTCTTTTCTCTATCAGATTGTATAGAAAAAGAGGGTCCCGTGGTCTGTTTGGTCCTCTGCTACATAACGTGAACTTTATTCAACAAAAACGATTAAATATAATGAAATATTTTCAATAATATTTGCATCATCATCTTCTGGATTAATTTGGCATTTAGTAATCCACATCAATAATTTACTTTTCATGAAAATAGTTCTCTCTCTTCAGATATTAAATGAAGTATGTAACGATACAACTTTTTGTTTTTGGTATGCTTCATCTATATGATATTTTAATGATTCTTCATCAACTAAAGTTGTTTTTATGGGTGAAATTAATTAATGAACATTCATTAGTCAACAAAGATTTCCTCGTTTAACTATTAATTCTGATGATACTCAAACGATAATTATGGGTGAAGGTGCACCAAATAAATTAGTTGATGTTTTAATGTATCATTTGAAGTTCGAGTCAATTATACATTTAAACTGTCATTTTTCTAATGAGAAGTTATAAACTCAAATTATAATAAATTCTACAAATGTTACTTGTTCATAAAATCTAGAAAAATCATTTTCAATTGCGAAATTTTGATTTATTTTTATTTTACAAGTATAAATTAACACTGGCAGTCTTATAAGTCAATTTTAGAGCATCTAATCAATTATTGATATCGAATTTAAATTAAGCATATGTTTTCGAATCTTATTTAAATTCTCTATCAGCATTTTTTTTGAAATGAAGAATGAGAAAGAAAACCCATTTATTCGTAGATTTTTCGAATGTTAATTTTAATGCATAGCTAAATCAAAGTTAGTGGAAATGCTTCTCATAGATACCTATCTGCAATATAGAATTGATACATTCGACTTATCTTAATAATTCTCTAATATGTTCTATGAATAATATAACACAAAGTTTTAGTAATTGTTTAATACACAACTAAGACCAATGTGATGAGTTTGATTCAGTATGTATAAGTCACTAAAAAATCGTTTCATGTATCGTAAATAATCTATTAGATTATTTTTTTTCGATTGACTAGCAAAACAAAAGGACAACATTAAGGGTACATAATACAATGAAGTACATTAAGTCATGAAGAAACAAAACAAGTAATACATATTTATACAAGAAAAACAACATCATTGTTAAACAAAATTATTCACAGAAATAATATTTCCATTTTGTTTGTATTCATTTTTAACTTTATAAAGATTCAAATGATTAAATTTTTGAACATAGGATTTAATAATAAATAAAAGAGATAATTTTTTAGATTGTTCATCTGTTGAATTCGAAAATTTGTTGTCATTGAAGTAAATCATCTAGATTATAAATGAAATAAAGAATAGATTATAATCAACAACAGATATGAATTCATCTTATTCAACTATAAAGAATAAAGAATCGAAAAACTTTATCATAATAGTTTCATTGTTCGACATTTAAACAGTCATTTTTAGTCTATTCTTCTTTTCATATGCTTTAGATCAACGCAAGACACGTTTTGCACTTACAAATGTTTTTTTTTTAAAAACCACATAGAAATGGTTTTTTTCAACTTGGAAGAAATCAAACATTCGTCGAAAAGGCTCTTAATCTAATATATGTTCCGATCTAGACATTCGAATATTATATTTAAACATCAATATTCTATTTGGAATTTTAAAAAATTAATAATAAAAGTGAATACATTTAATTCTAATAGAAAAAAATTATTTTTCTTTCCTATACCCTGCAAAGAAAGAGAAAGAGGAAGCAATAACCGATTGAACTATGAAAAAATATCATCATTAATAACTAATTTACAAAATAAAAAATTTTTCCTTACAGAAATATTTGATTTTTATTAAACACCTACTGACCTTAATATCTATTAAGTACTTGGCGAGAGGCAAAATTAATAATAATATTCCAATTAATACTGTGACCAGCATAACATAACCCCATAATCGTGTTGAAGAATTTGCTGTATGCTATAAATCATTTAGAATATAAATTATATTACTTAGCTAACATCATCTACGTACAATGAAATATATGACAGCTTTTAACAAGCAGATCCATGATGCAAAAACGACAATCCAACCCGGAATAATGATAAGTGGATGAAAACGGGACCATGGTGAATACATCTGACGGTTTTCTTCACCAGGTTTCGATAATGTATTCATTTGAATCTCTTCGGTACTCATCTCAAAAATAATAATGTATTATTATCAATCTACAATTCTACACACATTACTGTAATTTTGTTATGATATATATTACAATAAAATCATCATTAGAATATCTCACTATATGATGTCTTCTAAGAATATCCCCGGAAATTCAATTATGTCCTAGGATAAGAGGTATAGAGATATATAGGTATATGAGGTACAGGAGATATAGCAGATATTCATCAACTAGTGCAGATAATCTTTATACAGCGCTTGACTCTGAACAGTGATTCATTCATATATACTCATTCAAATTATTGATCCTTGGTCGAAAAAATCAATCATAAAAAATAAATAACTGTTTACTATGTCTTCTATATCTCCTATACTTCTTACCCTGAGACATAATTGAGTTTCCAGGAATATTCTCCGAAGACATGTAACCCTAGTCGACTTTCACCCGAAAAATCACCGGTGAGTCCCTTGAAAAATGCGAACTCCTTGGTGAATCACCAGAGAATCACCTTTATTTTCCCAGGGAGTCTCTCCAGGGATTTTTAGGAGATCACTGGGTGTTAGGAAGTGGAAGAAAATTAAAAACTCTCTGGAGAGTCCTTATACCGGAACTTCCCAGTGAGTTATTTTTCTGTTGATTTTTTTCTATAAAGCGAATAAAAATTTTACATTTATACCAAACTACATCTGTTCAAATGTAGCTACATGAGTGGTTCTAGAGACGTCAGACTAGTACAAAAAAGGAAGAGGTAGATAGATAGATAGATAAAAGGACTCTTTTTTATTATGAAGCCATTCCCTTGCTAATCCCTAGGGGCTCTCTGTAAACTCCCTTGCAAATCTCCGGGAACTCCCTGAGGATTCGTTAGGAAAAAGTTGACTAAGATAATCTATCTCACGGATCTTACTCAATTCTAAAATATTTTTTAATACAATAAATGTTATTGAAATTTAAATAAAATATTCTGTAGTATTCTTTCCTGTTTGTTATGAGACACTTATCAATGATATTTCATTTCTGTCTTAGAAAACGAAAACAAAATCCATCTCGATAGTTAAAATCGAAATAATTTTCAATTATAAATTTTAATATGACTAATAATGAATACATTCCAATATAAAGAAAAACAAAATTTATGTTTTAAAATAAATAATTCTATTTTATGTAGCATATTATCAAAATCAATGAATAAAAAACAAACATCGTGACGAGATGAATGTTAGATAAATATAATATTATGATACGATCAATTTGAATAAAACATATCTAATTACAATATCATTGTCAAACTAATATTCTTAAACAAATTTTTCAAGGGAAATAAATCTACATGTACAATAAGCTATTGAATTATTTTTCGCTGACAAGAAAATACTCATGTCTTAACTAAGATTTTTTTTTGTTTACGTATTCGACGACGTTTCACAATGAATAAATAAATAACACTATGTGTCGATGATGTTTGTTTTAATATCTGAAAAAGATCAAGATAATCACCAAATATAACAAATAAAAAAAATGAGCAAGAAAAGCATATCTGATTTTGGAAAAAGAATAAAATCATCTGACAAACATATGAAAGTTAAAATGAAATATAAAAAAAGAATAGTGTTCTTTTATGTAAGTTCATACTGTAGATTCATATATTCGTTGTTCTTGTGGTATAAGTATATGTAATTGTTCAGTTTCTGTTGGTTGAAGTTGAACCATTGTTGTACTTTCAATATTAATTTTCATGAATGTATAACAGCATATGTCAATTACACTAATTAAGGCTAATCCAATTGATGATATCTGAAAGTAAAGAATATTAATAAAAGATCTTGTGGTATTAATTTTCTTTTTACTTACAGATTCGTTAAGAATACCTCGATAAATCTGTTCGATAGCTATTGCACAGTTTATAACTAAGAATACTGTACGAATTGTTAATTCCTATTATTAAAAAAAATATTGTAATCTGAAATAATTAAATATACTTACCAACTTATCATATAAATTTTTGTTCATGTTATGATGTAGAACATTTTTTTATTTTAAATAAATAGACTAAATAGAATCTACGTATTATCATTCCGATCAAATATAAAAAATATATGAGCAAGTAACTGATCGTCAAATAGTAAAGTACTTTTCCTGATGTAACATGAAAATTTAAGATCTTAAACAGTATCAGTAACAGTGTGAAAATCTAGGAAAAGGAAGAACGATAAAAAAATTCGTTTTTATTCTCCGAAAAAACTTACAATTGGAATAACATAAGAAAATATATAGTAAGAGATAAGTCGACAGATGGAGTTTATTTCATGCAAGTTCACTGTAAAAAATTAAGACACATGAAGTGTATTAAAAAGACAGTTCATTCGCTTAAACAAGACACTTTGAACTAATTCTGATTGGCTGGTATAACTTATTTAGACGCTTCAAGTGTCAACGAACGGATGACCGATTTTAGACACTCGAGCGTCTTACTCGTTTCTCATTGGAGCATTTGAACCAGTTACAAAAGTATCTTAAATCTGTCTTTCCAAGACATTTCAGCTGATTTACGAACTATTTATTCTGAAAATGAATGTACTTCGATATGATCAGTACGTATGAACGAAGTATTTTTGATAAAATAATTTTTTAACTTTTCTTCCCATCAAATTCATTTTTATTAAATTTAACTTTATAAAAAAAATTGTTTTTTTTTTAATTTTTGTAAAAATAATTCTTTTAAATTTTTGCAAAAAATTGAAGTTAAACTTTTCTAAAAAAAAAAAAGAAAAAAAAAATTAAAATTAAATGTAATAAAAACGAATTTGATGAGAAGAAAGATTAAAAATTATTTTATTAAAAAAATATTTCGTTAGCACGTACTGATCATATCGAAGTACATTCATTTTCAGAATAAATAGCTCGTAAATCAGCCACAACACCTTGGAGAAATATTAAAGTTTAAGTTTCGGTAAGATTGAGTTTGTTATCGAATTTTTTCATAAATGTCCAAATGAGAAATTGAATCTGAAAGCTTTATGATAGATGTTCAACACGATAGTGTTCTAGAAAAAAAAGAAAAGAATCATACAGCACCTTTTTAACCTAAATTAATTTAAAAGAAATATTTTTGATATCGAAAGCGCATAACTCAAAAAATTAGTTTAGGAAAAAAGAATAGAAACAAAAAACCCTTGTAATGTAGAAAAACACTTTACTTGACGACTTCACATAATTTAAGAAAATTTGATAAAATTCACTTGTACAAGTCATCACAAATGAGAAAGAAAAGAAATGAAAATTGTACACAATAGCGACAGTTAAACAAAGAATAAGACGCTTCAGCGTCTATACATTCAATTGTCTAACACATAAGACATTTTAGTATCTATCCCACCCAAGTGTCTAAAACAGAGATGTTTCTAGTGTCTAACTAATGTCTAAAATAGACTTTAGACGGATGCACCGTCTTGTAAGACGGATGGCATTTTTTAGAGTGAATATGGTTTTTGGAAGATTCATTGAGAATCATAAAAATCCTTCTAACTATATTTGTCTCACAGATGTCGCTGCTTTATGTAAGCATTAGAAATGCATTTGAAGAGAAAAAAATAACTTATTATCCATGATTGGTTAATTGTATTAACTAATCTGTAGTCTGCACCATTCAAGTGCCATGCCATTGTTTATTTTTTTTTGAGCTGATTTTTTTCAAAAAGTATTCTCAAGATTCGGATATTATCTATTATTTACGAAATTTCTCTTATTTTTATTGCAATTTAATTTTAGAAGATTATTGTTATGTCGACTTCTCGTAATTTTGATTATTTACCAGTAAAAGTGTTAATATTTACGGGTTACGAATTTTTTCAATTCATCAATTTTAACTACTGAAGATTCACTTGACATTTTCAATTATGACATTGAAGACGAAGACTTAGAAAATTTGAAAGATCAACTGTGTTTCAAATTAAAAAAACATAAATTCTTGATAAAACCTGGAGTTATTTCTGGCTTTCGTTCATTAAAAGATGCTTTAGAAAAACGACTCAATGACCAATTAACAAGATCGAAGAAAAAAACAACAACAGCACATAACAAAAATTATCCTTATCTGAGCACAAAGAATATGTTCTTAGATTGATCAAAAAATGGTATTTTGAAAATAAAGAAAAATTCGATCTAGAAAATTTTAATTTAGAAGAAAATGTTGATTATACATTGAACATTGATTTGGATAACAATAATGATGGAACAGCAAGTATTAAATGTAAATGTGCCAAATTAATTTCATTAGGCAAAAATGATAGTAAAATCCAAGTTTCAAATTATTATAAACATTTGCAATCAAAAGGTTGTGATCATATGAAGAGGATTGTAAAAGCTGAGAGAGATTTAAAGTCAATGCAGCAACAATTATCAATATCTGTTACATCAACATCTATTGTGCGAACATATCCATCTCAGACACATGCACCAGTAATACAACTTCCTGATGTTTCACCAACTACTGTACCAACAACATCTCGCAGTGATTTTCCAGTAGTATCAAATCAAGTTACACAAAATGGTAAATGTCGTTTGGCATCACAGTTACAACAGCAACATTCAACAAAAAGAAGTGGCATTTGAACATTTTCTCTTTTCTGTTTTAATGTATTTTAACTTATGTGTGATCTTCGAGGTTTTTTTTAATCATTTTCTGAGTAAATCACTGAACCACTTGTGCAATGGGAATATTGCTATTGTATTTTCTCTCGAATACATTAGCAAAAACAAAACGATAATAGTCTGATTTATAAAATAGGTGTTTGTAATTATACTAAGAAAGTTTGAAGTACACGAGATAGGCACGTGTAGGTGTGCGTGAATAAATATTTATTATTGAAATAAAAGATTTAGAGAAGATGGAGACTCGAATCTTGTTGTTGGATGATCTTGAGTTGGTCTTGAAGAATTCGCCAAAATTTGTCCGAGAGGTGTGCGGGTTCTGAGAGAGTGGTTAAGTACTGTTGAATGAGATGTGTCTCACAACGGTGAACTTCGGCGATGATCGCCTTTTTGTCTCGACCGTCATTGACCCAAGCCTTGATGTCGATCCACATTTGATGAGCCGCTGCGAGACCCGTGCCCGATGTCACTCTAAATGGAGTTGAAAGATAGTGGATAGAAAGAGAGGGAGAGAGAGAGAACTCACGGTTCAAGACCGAATTCGGTTCTGAGAAAGCTTGACAGTTCATCGATGAAGTCGAGACGGGTCACGGCAACCGTTTGAAAATGTGTTTTAAGTTCACTTTCATTGCAAACCTCGGCACATGTCTTGAAACCATGATAAGAATCGTAGAGATGCTCCAAGATCAATTGACATCTGTGTCCGGTCTTTTTGCATGCATCAGTCGCATCGGGCGATGCAATGTCAGTCACATGTGAACTCGTGGTTGTATTCGATGAGATCATTTTCTGTCAAGGACGAGAATGAGTGCCAAATAAACAAAGAGGAAGGAAAGAAAGAAAGAAAGAAAAGAATGAATAAGTGTCTGCCGGTTTACTTCCGCATCGACGATAGGAATGACTCATTGGCAGTGGCTTCAACAACTCATCGATCGCTCGCTTTGTACGACAGATGTCGAATAGTGCCAGGGTGAGTAACACAAGCGCACTGGATCTCTAAGACGTGTACCTCATATTGATCATCAGTCATTTATGTATAGAATCGTTACATCGTCGATTCGAATGAATATCAAGCGGATTCGCTACTCGAGAATTCAAATCTAACAGATGTTGTTTGTGAGGCGACCAGAGACCGAAACCGAATCGAATCGAATGGATATTCCTTTATTCGGTTTCTTTTCTTAACCAAAATCTACGAGAAAAAAAACAAAAAAGGATGGTCGAAAACCGAAGAAATTTATATATATTTAAAACACAGTTTGTTTGTCTAATAAAGATATAGATCTCTTATTATCGTAGAGCAAAAATAAAAGATTCTTGACATCGTCTCGTAGTCTTTTCCTGGACGAAACTTCTCATTTTCCTATATGAACAGTAATTGAGAAACACAGCACACTGTTCAAATGTGACGGAATCATTTTTTTCACGTTGTCTATTTAATATCTCAACTCATTCATATCGGATAAAGCTGATATTCTCAGAAAAATATATAAGTCATACTACCCTGCACGTCATTAAATTTTCACTAAATCTGCTCTTTCTGTTACAGTTTTATAATTCAAATATAGGCTCATGGCGGAATCACAAAAAGTGGACCTATCTTGAGGGTGTGGGTGAGGGTGTGAGGGTGAGGGTAGGTATCTTCTCCTCACCTCGCCTTTCATCACTCACATTCTCATGCACCCACACGCACACCCTCACTGTAACGAAAAATATATAAATATATTTATACAAAGTATATATCTCTTCGTTAATGACAAATGGAGAGGCATATTTATGTCTTTGATCCCATAGTGATGAGCATGATGTTTATTCGACTATGCTCTGCATCCAAATGTAACAATCTAATACACAACATGAGCTTATATAGGAGAAGGATGGAAGAGAAGAGAGAGAATAAATATTACAATACAAAAAGGAGAAAGAAAAGAGGAAAGATATAATAGAATATTACGCATTATAAGATTAGTCAACAGTTGTTATAGAAAGGACGTCCATCTTCTTATGTCACCCTTGATGATCCAATGACATGGAGAATATGTGTACGTTAGTGTCGTATGACGTAATAACAATTAGCATAAATAGGAAAGATGACGTGCTTCTTAGCACATCATACCACCATATCGTTTACATATGAAGGGCACGTTTGTATGTACGAGTAGAATAGGAAATGATGCGAAGATAGATGATGAGGCCAAAGATACAACAATGTACGAATGAACAAGTAATGATGCCAAGGAGAGAACAGATATACAATTGAATGAGAAGCGCATTACGACAGACAGGAACAAGGTTTCATCATAAAGAGATAAACGTAAGAGGAACGCGATTACGAACACAGCATATCATTGATATTACAA